GATATGTTAGAGTATGTGATGTGAAACTGAGGTCTTGACTACCTGGTCGTTGAAGAGCTTCTCGGCTTGTTTGTACAGTACCTAGTTTACATCTAACTGGGGAAGGTCATGCCAGATTGTCTGTGGATCTGCTATTATGAGAACATTTAAATCTGCAGGTGGGCATGTTAGGTTTCCTGACACACGTCCTGATTAATGCAGGGGGGTTCTTACGAATTCAGTTCAAGATCAATAATAAAATCTTAAATGTCGTTTCATCCCTCATGCTCGGTAAAGTGATTATCTGTGGTTAGTTACCAACACATTTTTTGGAATACATTTACTGTAACTTGTGCTGTTTTCATCATTTTCCCGAAATTTTAATGTGAAAAACAAATTCTGTCAATATTTTAAAAATGAAAGCATAAATATAGTATATTATACAGAAACTGAAAAGCGCTATGCACCCATTTTCAAAAACACAGACATGTTTGTCAGCAGTTTCTGTTTTAGAATCAAGTCCCTTGTAAAATAATTAGTGCTCCACTAGTTATAACAGAAAAAAATTAGGTTACCAAAGAATACAGAATATACTGTATTATCAATAGGGTAAGAGCCAATAGGAGATATACATTGCACTTTTATGTACAGTAACATAGAATTGTAAATATTGTCTGAGAAAGTTAAATAAAAAAGAATGTAATATGTGAACTTTAAATGAAAGTATTGCTTATCAACATATTTATGAAGTAAACTCTATATACTGTTTGTGTCCTATAATTGATATTCTGTGAGTCCTCCATACATAAAACATTTTTAATTAACATAGAATAATTATTACCTCATGGAGCCACTGTTAAGCATGAAATAGAACTTAATTCATGGCAATATTAATTTTATATGCATAATTTAAATAAGTATCTGCACTAAATTCCTTTTGTATGTAGTGGTGTGAGTTCCACTTTCAATAATTACATGTTACACTTGAAATAGAATGTATTTTAAGTTTTATATACTGTATTGTGTTTCAATAGTAGTGTCTTGTGCAATAGTGAGAACAACAGCTGAAATGAAAAAGGTGAAAAACAAACTATACATTAAATTTGTAAAATATTTTACTTTCTAAGAGATAAGAATAGTGTGAATTCACTAAATGTGTATTGGGTATAGAGATTTGTTGAATGAGACCGTGTACATGAATGTGTGTCATATTTCTATATATATACACAGTACATATTATACACCTATGCAATATATAAGAAAACATAAATAAACTGAGAACAATATGTAAACTAAGTATGGCAGTATAAATGCTAAGCCAATGAATTCAACTTCTAACTTTTTGTGCAAACAGTTTTTAGCACACAACATAATCTGTATTGTATTCATCACTGTGCTGGCAAATAGCTCACAAATCTTGGATTTATGTAACGTCTACATTTTATAACTCAGTTACATTAAGGAGTAGAATGACAAAGCTTGTTTTATATTTTTTGTTTATATTATATGTTTTATTTTATGCCTAAATGTCATCTAGATAAAATATGTTTAGTGGATTAATAAGGGTTTATTACTAGTACTTGTATTTTATTCCTTAAGTGGTTTAAAATGTTATTAGTTTTAAAATTCATTTATTACTAGCAACTATAATAACCAGAATTACTGAAAGATTTTACCATGCAAGTCATGTTTAAAATGTTTCTGTTTAAAGGAGGTGTGTGGCAGACAAAGTAAAATTACAGACAAAGTAAATATATTACTATAATATATCTCTGTTATTAATAGGGTGACTTTATGCTCACAAGGACACTTTGAGACAGGGTGGGAAATTGAAAATTAGTGATTAATTTTGATCACCAGTTTCACTATTCCTGCTAGTAGTCAGATGGTGTGAACAACTGAACAATGTTACTGATTTCTTTGAAAGCATCATTTCCAGTCAGGTTTTATTGATCAGGATTGCCATTTTACTGGACACAGGCATTAAGCAGCAATTTTCTTCTTAGGAAAGAGTAATGCCGAATTTAATTTAATTAAGGTCTTACACTTTAGGTGCAGTTTTAATTACTGTCCTACGTGTCCTGGGGAACATGGAGTTATGTAGTTTTCCTAGTTCTCAGCCACATTAGAACCTATTGTATAACAAAGTGTAAACAAATGCCCAGTATCCACTGAAATATCCAGAAAGCTACTGTACTTGCAACAAAATGTATTGTCTTAATTCCAAAACACATAGAATGAATAGTAAAAAATTGAAAATAGGTTTTATTTACTTCTAATTCCCAGACCCTTGCACATATCTTAAAAAATATGTACAAACATCACATGGAGAGAGAAAAAGATCAGAAGAAAATAGATCACTATTTTGTGCAAATCAGAGGGCTACTCAGTCAACTGCAGTATACTGTATGAATATAACGAATGCTCCCATTGTTATATCTGCCCAACTACGTCATAAATAATTAACATAGTGTCTGAAGTGAAAGGGACTGTCCCTGTAATGCAGTGGAATGGAGAGCCCACAGGGTGAACAGCCCTGATTTTAATTGGCAAATTTTACTAACTCAGTGCTATATACACACAGTTTTGCTGCTACTGTATGTGGGTGTGGGAGTTATGGTTAGCTTTATAACAGCAGAATGCAGGGCTGTAATTGTTATAGTTGCTTCTCACATTTTGCCCAATTCAATGATGAGATGATGAGAGATAAACTTTCACCCCCAATAATTTGTACTTTTGTACAAAAGCGGGAAAAGAGCAGTCAGTAAAAGATCTCTACAGCACCTGAGCAGCACACTGCACATCATTTAAGTTTCAACATGCTATAGGCCGATATAATAGTGATATGTACTGTAAAACATCTCCAGGATCCCCTGACCAACACCCTCTGCCAATATACACACATCCTTCTCCAGAAAATGACATTTATAGCACAACCACCAGCACCACATGAAGTCTACTACAGGTCAACCTGAAGGCTTTGAACAACTAGGCTTAAACAATTGGAATTGTGAAGATATTTACATATTTGTAACTGGGGGGCATGTGTGAAGATGCTGAAAGCATCACCTCTATCTTCCTACTGCTGGGGGTGAAATCTGGATGCTTGAACGAACAAAAAAATTGCTTGACTTAATAGAAGTTTGTCTTTCCAAGGCAACAAAGTCAGTAATATTAATTTAGCCCGCTGCTTAGATCCACTGGGATCCATTTAAATTGAACTTATTTTCACAATTATTTATTTGTAAGGAGCCGAGTAATAACCCAGTTATAATCCAGTTAATAATCCATAATGTTTCAAATTAATGAAATACTGTATTTCACGTATTTGTAAACTTTAGTTCACTCTAACATGATATTTTTGCTACATTTTATTTTTTTACTGTAGATGACATGAACTGAAGGCTGTATTTTAGTAAGAAAAGTATGTGAAAGTAATGTTCTTTGTACTGTATGTTTTATGGCAAATATTGTCTGAAATATTAGATATTATATATTGTTATGTGGTGGTCTTAAAATATTACTGTACTGTAAAAATAAACAATGAAGAGCTGCATCTCTTTTTGTAGTCATTCCTGAGCCTTAAAACTTTATTCATTTGTAAATTGCAACAGTTGGTAAGTGTCACGCTCATTACACCTAGAGGGCGCTCAACGTTCCTTCTGTCCCTAGTTTCCTGTGATTATTCATGTCTTTCTGGTGTGTCTTGTTGTGTAGCCTATTTATTTCCTGCTTCTGCTCTGCTACTCGCTTAGCATTGTTGTTTAGATGTCTTGAGACCTGTCCTTGGCCTGAGGGCATAGGTTCCTATACGGCCTCTCCCGAACGGGCTAACCCCCGTCTCGCCGCTACGCATAGGGTCTTAATCGCTCTCCAGCCATTCAACGGTTCGACCTGTCGGACTTAAAGTACGTGACAGTAAGAGAAGTTGTACTGTTGAATATCCTGACTCTGTCAGTCTACAAACAAAATATTCCCAAACCACAGTTAACCTTTTATTGAACTTGACACTTTAAAGGGAATCGAAAAAAATGTAATTGTTACCAAAAAATACACACAGTACTGTATATGACAGACAGTGGGGCCTATAGTACTGTAAATTAACCTTCCTGCCTTGCATGTCCATGGAAGCTAATCTGGCAGTTTTCCTTATTACTCCTTAGCCAGTTCCACATTTACAGTACCTCCAAAACTGAATCCGGACATCACTGTGAATCCTGACTAGATCTATTAGGAGCTTTATACAATAGCTGCATTCACCTCTTGTAGTCTGATTTCAGAAGCTGTGCAAGGCTGTGGTCAGTCAGTACTAGCATAGGCAAAAGCAAGATCTTGCTGTCAGTGGTGTTGGTGGACCAGCAAGTGGAGATATTTGCTTTACACCAGAATTTCCAAACCAGTTCCCCAGTGTAATGACCAGGTTCACCAAGCCACAGGTGTCTGTTCATAAGAGTAAAGATGTTAAACCTGGTGTCCTGGCTCAATTCCACTCTGATCTTCCACAATTTGATCTCCCTAAAATGATCAGAATAGCGATTGGAACTGCCCTTCAGCTGTGGATGGCACATCAGGATACTTTGGAACAAAAAGCAACAGTCGATAAATGCAAGCAATTATTATTTACTACCAGTTTGTTCCAAAGCAATTAATAAAGATTCGTGGATCATTTTTGGATTCATTACCAGCTGATGCCAAGTTAGAATTAAAATGGTCTTTATCCTAATGCTCAGTCTCATGACCACTGCCAGCCGTTAAAGAGACAGGCAGCAGATTCAGTGCTGAGTAAGGTAAGGTTCCTACAGCAGGTCCTTCACCCACTGTGACAACACCAGGATGTCCTAAGCTCTGGAAGTGCCAGTACTATGTTAGAATTGTTTGAGCTTCTTGGTTACTGTATGTACACACTATAAAGACCGGTGTAGGGAAATTACATTTATGGGAAATCTTTTTTTATTTATTTTAGCATTTGAGCTTTTTTTTAATGCAACCTCACAATAATACAAATCCAGAGTAAGACTGTATAACTAACAGACATGCAGCAATTAGCTTATATTACTGTATCCTTCTTTGTGGTGATCAATTTGTTTTGCAAATCATAGAAAATGCACATATCTGGACATCTGGAAAAGTTCAACTACTTTGCTGGATTTGGTAGGCTTGGCTGACACCAATTGGACTTGCTATCACATTACAGAATAACCTTTTTTAATAAAACAGGTGTAAAGAACTCAACACAGTCATATAACACAATATTGTAAAGATTTGAAATAAATGGTAAAAGCATGAAATTGTAATTGTATATGATATTCAACCACTTTATTTTATTTATTTTATTTTAAAAAACTGAAAAATAACATTCTCTGTAAATTCGGTTTAAATTTTGTTCTAAATGAAATACTAGGAAACATGTAGGAGACATCTTGACAACAGTAACTTATTTTAATTAAAAAGACAAATTATTTGTTTCTTTAAAACAATATGCACCTGTAAATAACTATTCTGTTGCCAGATAATGCCAGATTCATAAATCCCAATGTATGTATATATATTGTAGAGACATTAGTTTCGCTGCAGTTCACTAAGAAATGGAACAATGTCTTGTTTTTGAGGTACATTGCAAAGCTTTCCTGTGCAATAGAGCTGTATTATATGAATCGGACATGCAGTTCCCTCCAAACTTATTGGGACAGCAAAGTCAAAACAATTTTTGAGTTGAAGTCAAGCATTTCGTATTTGTGATCGTGAGATCAATATGACTAATTCAACCTACAGTATATTATGTTTTTTTAGTAATTCCATGTATGCATATTATCATGTTAGAACAAAAAATACTTTGTTTCCAATCCAGTAACTCAGTTCAAGTAACATTAAATATTGGGACACATTCCCTTTCTTGGGTTGCATGCTTCTTTGGAGCAATATTGCATGAAGCTGGAGACCCACTGAACACACCAAATTCTTATGTGATCATTTGAGATACTTTGTTAGGCCTTTGAATTATTGCCTTTCCCTGATCTGATCTGATTTTTTTCTTCAGCATATAAATCGCATGGACTTACATGTGGAGATTGACTTGCCCACCTAAGATTTCCCATTTCTTTCTCCTGATGAACAACTTGGTTATACTGACCTTATGTTTAGGCTGCATGGTGAAGCACTGCCCACTTACTGTAGCAAGGAAGAATCTTCTTCTACAGTACATAAGCAGACAATTTATTTCTGGAAGTTTCAGATGTATTGTGCTGCCTCCATCACTAGTTCCATTAGCGATAACGAGAAGTGAGTCAGGTCCAGAGGTGGCCATGCATGCCCAGGCCATGACACTACAGGTGGTGGCCGAGGAGGTGATCTTCTACTGCATCTGCAGTTCCTGTTCTTCTCCACATTAACACTTCCATCACTTTGATAAAGGTTTGATTGTGGTCTCATCTGTCCATACAACTTTTCCCAAACCTCCCTCGTTCATCTTATGTATGAGCAAATTCTAACCTGCTATTGAAATTCTCTTGACTTAGCCTTCAGCAAGCTGTGCATTTTGTAAACCTTGTCCCTGCACTCTGGACTTTGTTGGTAAATTTACTGACAATTGTTTTAGGGTTTTTGTAAGGTGAAATTTAGATTTCACTGTGCCAATACTTTTAGAAAGTACTACATATACAGTAGTACTGTATTAACCTTAGAGGATAAAGGAACACAGTAAAAAATAGTACATATTAACAAATAATAATGACCTCCTCAGATCATGATCATACAGTAAATTAACCATTCTTCTTCGTGACAGTATGAGAAAAGACAGAAGAGCTGTCATTCACTAAAATTCACTAATCATTCACATGCTTTCATATTATACATTGTTTCAGTACTGCTGTTTGAAATGACCTTCTTGACCTTTTGCAACCACATAACATCAGTCAGTCTGTCAAACAGGAACTGCCAGGACAGGCTCTGACACACACTGATCCTTTACTAGGACAGCACGACCCATTAACGACATCTGTCAGTCATTCTAATGCCTGTCGTTGGGAGATGATTGATCGATTCCACAAGGATATGGAATTTTAGAGAAGCCAAATTGAAAAGGTTTTTCAAGTATTGACTTGTTTTTGTCCCTACAGGACAGAGTGGACAATGACATTGTGAATCTGTCATAGTCCTGCAAAGTTCCTAGGTCCCTGTTCACAGGAGAAATAAAGTTATAAAATCTATATGCTGTATATAATATATATCAAGACTAACCAAATATATCTGCTCTAATCTAGAACCTCCAGTGTGCGTACATGTTTTCAGCCCAAATGATAAGCAGAACCTGATCTAAAATTATGAATGTTTTAAGCATGTTATGCAGTATTTTGATCTAATCCGAAAAATGTTTTTGTAATTGTAAGTTTAAAAACAGATTCACTTTGAATACCTTCTTAGTATTTGAAATGTTATTTTAATTCGATGCACAAACTACACAACATTACTCTTTTTTGTTGCCTGTTGCCTGAGGTACAATGCATTTGCAGCCGTCATGCAAATACTTTCTTCTATGGAATTCTATTTAATTTTTTAAATAACATACCAATCTCCTGTTTGCTTCACAGGTTAAAAAAGAAAAAAAGAAAATGTACAAGTTATTCCTAATTTTCTACATCAATGGACCTGTATAGTCTTCAGGCAGGTGTTATGACACACATACACAAGATTCTGCAAAAGGTGCCCTTCTGCCTGAAACAATTAAGAAAAACAGGCATTAATATGAAGATCACTGCTCTTGAAAGAAGGTAAATAAGTCACTTCTTTAAGCATCTTTTTAAAATTAGCACATGTTGTACCTATTTCCTTCAATTGTCACTTTACCCTTCTTCTCTGGGGTTTTCATTTATTCCAGTACAACTGATGTTTCACAAGTCACAACAGAAGTGCCTGAGTTTAATGGCCAGTGATCACAGTGCTATATAGGAGTAATGTTTTTGACAGCTGGCTTTTATGTGATTTTTCAACATCACAAGCAACACTATTTGAAAGGGAAGTCAGAAAGGGGAGTAATTTACTTAAATTTAAGTTAAACTGATTTATCTAAGTGCAATAAAATGAGCCTGTGTTTTACATTACTCAATTAAATGGCTTTTCTAATGTTTTTATTCCAGAGACAATGCTGGAGTATGTCTGTTAAAAATAAGTGATTTGTTTTTAAATACAGTTCTGTTTGTCTAGCTTTGTGGTATAGCATTTGCAAAGACTTTGTGAAATGGGGCTTGTATACAGTATCTTCTATAAGTTACATGACAAGAAAAAAAAGAAGAGCCGTATCGGTATACTACTGTACTTCATCCAGAAAAAAAATACTGTCCCTCTGGGCAACCGGGCAACATTATATCCCTTCCTATTACGAAATCTAATTAGCTTGGTGACACAGCTGATAAACTCCCCAATATTATAATGATTTTGGAGCAGTCTCTTATCGACTCTGATACTAAAAAAGTTATAAAAAAAGATCTTCAGTTTTTGGTTGTTAAATCATCTTTTGAGGAGCAAAATTTATTTTGTCCCTTAACAATAGCGCAGAGCATCCTAGCTATGAATTTATTACAACAAAATTAGTATTAAACCTTTTCATGTGATCAAAACTGCATGTGCTATAACCACATTAGGAGACATACTTTCACAGCAGATGGTCTTAGTTGCCTGGCATATGATTTAAGCCTATTGGGAAAATGCTGAATTTAATTCTCCGTTGGTTAAGATATTGAACCCGGTCAACCAAGCATCCCTAATCAGTATTAAGAGTACTTAGCAACGGTTCTGACAACAAAATGCTAATTTGATTTAAGTAATGACTGTTCAGAAATTGATTATTGGAAACTGTCTATCACCTTTTTAATTTACCTTTCTCTATCACCTTCTTGAGCAGCTGCTGCATATTTCTGTGTACAGTGTCTATGGATTTTTATTGAATCTTCCTAAGACTGCTTGAGATGAGTTTTTAACATACAGTGCATATTATGTCAAGAGGGTAATCTACAGTATAAACAATTATAAAGGAATGCTCTCTAAAATACATAATCACAAATCCAAAAAGCAAACATTACATCATCTCTGCTTGTTGCCACTATTCTTAAGGTTTGTGATTCTCTTTCTGGTGCCTCACAGTACTACCTGAGACAACACACATTTATCATCCTATTTAATAATTGTATTATTATTTATTATCATTATTCATTTATAATGCTATTTATTCACCCTCAATTTTTTCACACATGATTTTAGGATCATACCAGATCTCTACAACACCTGTGGTAAAATACAACAGTTAAAGCTCCAACATGTTTAAGAGCTTGGAACAAACAGTTCAAATTAATCTTATTATTAAGACAATGAAGTGTTTGATTTTGTAACTGAGGGCTTGGCTGGAAAAAAAACCAACAACAGAGGTGTGGGTCACCAGGATTAAGACTGGGAATCACTGACCTAGAGTGACCAAAAAAGGGAAAGAACAATTTGCAATAGCAGTAATGGAGGGTTTGTGACATTCCAAAAAATAATGTCTCATACAGTATCTTTCTATGCAAAAGCTTTTTTTGCGTTCTAGGCAAAAGCAGCTAGCAGACATCGTTCAATAAAGAGCCCCGTGGGCCATCTTAAAATAACAAAGTGCATCACTATCGAACAGTGGGTGGGTTGCTGGATCATCCCAGACTTGACGTTGGTCAGACTCAAATCTGCATGAAGACGTGTCTTTCTCAGGTATGGTTCATTAAATCAACTGTGTGTATGGTGAGGTTTGTGGATGCCCACCTAGAGAGGGATCAAAGAGGAACATTATTGCTGATCATTAGGTGTCACGTAGTATGAAGTTCACCTGCTGTCTGCCAGTGACGCTACAGGGCAAACCTGCCCTGAACCTGCCTGCTTCAATATACCACAAATTTTCTAGGAATTAAAGGTCTACTCCATTTACAGCGGTGACAATAATAGTGGCTTTTTAGAAAATGCAATAGTTTGTTCTTTCTTTTACGCTCAGCTCACCATCTTCTTGATCTGTCATTAAAGCAAAGGGTAGTCTTACATCTATCATTTTAAAATGATGGCATGTATAGATGGAAGCAGACATTGCCCTAAGGCTGCATTACTGAAGAAATAGCAGCACTTTTACTGTGCTTTCAGACTGCATCTCCAGTGCAACGAAGTGAATTAGCTTTGGTTGGGAAGTATTTAGGATCTTTTGAAGTGGGTCCTGTAATTTGAATTAATTCTACCAAAACAAGCATATCAAATATAATGCCTTACACTACTTAAAAGTGACAGTTATTCTATTAAAGTAATAAGAGCTCAGGTTCTTAGAATTAGATATTTTCCTATGCTTTGTAATGTGGTTATTACTATATGTTGCAAATCATTACAAATTGCATTTTAAGTTTAATTTAGTTTTCCATTGAAAACCCAGCACACAGTCACAAGCACAGAACAAGGCCTGTATACAGTATACGTCCATGGGGAGCAAAATTAACAATGACTACTGCTGTGATGCTGTGATGGCTGTTTATATATGATATAATGAGGTGTCCGTTCAGGGGGATGATTTCTAGGGGTGATGGGTCAAAATGTGAAGCCATTTGAAATAGATTGAAAAACCTATTGCATTCTCTTCTTTGTCATTAATTGTCCAATTTTTTGTTTGAGAATATGGTTTTTCACTTGTTTGCTGAAAAGCAATTTCAGTGCAAAGCACAGAAAAAGATGAAAAATCACAGGCTTCTTAAGTGAAGAAATTCTATTTGAAGCAAAAAAGCCCGCTGTTCTCAGATACAATTTGTAACAGACCCATCTTAAACAGTAAGGTTTGTTTTTACATTAAAAATACTTGAACCTGTTGTTTTTCAAATCTGCTAGATCAAAGACACATTATCTGCAGTATACAGTATGAGAGATTTGTGAAAATTGTAAATTAATATTTTCACACAGCTCTAACCAAAGCAGTAGAAATAGTTTAGAATAAAAACATATTTCAGAAATAGTTGTGAATAAAAAATAAATATTTGAGGATACCCCAGTTCAGCAAGGCACCTCCTGTATTTTCTCTGATAAAAATTGGAAGAAAAAATGAATCTGAATAATTGAAGACAAAAATATCAGTTTCCCAAAGAAATAATTTAAAACTCCTTTGGTTAAGTGAAAAACTCCTGGAGAAAACACCATGGAGACTGAACAGAAACATTACAAAGATCAATAAGTAAAACGTCCCTATAATTATATAATGATAGAGATAAATGTATTATGACTAATCAATTAATACTGTAATTATCCTGGTCAGACCAGAAAAGGTCTTTTCAAAAAATGATAAATTTCCTAGAAACATTGCGATGTGCAAAATATAAATTAAGATTTGATTTTGCAGAAATCTGGAATATGGTACATATTAACTCTAATTTTGTGAGAAATGGAACAAGGACTTTGTAAATCCAAGTGTGTTCTTATGCACAATGAAAAACAACATGGTTTTTGTCATAGATCTCTGCTCTCACAAAAAAGGCCTAAAGCCTAGCTGACTAAGCAATAAGGATCTTTTTCAGCTCACATGTTAGGACTCCACATTTAATGATTTCTGTTCATCACTTCTTGGGATGTGTGATGCTACATTAACTGATGAGTGGTTTCTGTATCTTTTTTAATGAAAGGAAATGTAAAAGTCACCACAATGAGCTTTTGATATTTGATAGGGAAATTTTAAGCTGGGCCATGATAAAATAAATGGTACTGTATTCCTTTGTTACTGGTACTGTAGGTAAAAAAGGGATTGCCAAAACACCTTCAAGCAGATAACCCCAGACCTCCAAATGTCTTCTTCAGTATTTGCATTCAGAAAGATGCTGACATTTGAATCGAAGAACATGGGGTGTAAAAAACCCACAAAAGTTTTAAATTACAGTACCATGTGGACCCACTGATAAACAGCTCTTCAATGGCTGTTTTCCAGGTCCAGTATGACACATTTAAGCATGTAGTGGAGCAAGTCTTATAAAGCATTTTTTGACAGGCCAAACATTCCATTACCCAGCATACACCAAAATCTATAACCCAGACCTCAGCCTTTCAATAAGATCCAGAAACAAAATTAGCTCAATTCTGCACGAACGTCTACAGGTAGCAAAGCAATTCAACAAAAAAATATGTCAGTCATTCCCAAGGTGTTATCAATGCAGGACACTGACCGTCTGTTACACTACAAGCTTTGATGTGCCCTGCTTGGCTCAGGAAATTATCAATTAGAAGTAAGCTTACCATACCATGCTAAAACAACAGTCCAGTTGTATACCAATGACATGTCCTAATGTGAAAAATAATGTAGGGCTTTTAAGCAGTTAAATCAAATAAGAACAGGAAAAGGTGCAGCACTATCAACTTAAACAGTAGGCTTTGTGAAGATGCACTACAGAGTCAGTCTGTGCATGAACTAACACTATACATTAATAATGCTGAATTTGAAATACAAAGGTATTTCTTTCAATTAAAACACTTGCTTGAGGCAGCAAAGCACTGCCCATAGTATATCTTTCGATGGACATTTGTTCTAAGCAAGCCAATGACCCCAAATCGTACCCATCAGCTGCACAGACTATGAAGTAAACTTTGCTTACAGTGTGGAACCAGCACCAGGCTGCACTGTATCAACGTCTAACATACTGTATATAAATGGAAGTGGGGGGAAGATCAATAGAGCAGTATGCCTAAAGAACAAGAATACGGACGTGTTTTCTACGGGAGCTCTTTATGGCCATTATAGTACGTGCTTGTCCCTCACAGTCTACACAACATGCCAAAATAACTCACAGCACGTCTGTCAATAACGCTTCAGTTTGGCTATGCACGGACTTTTTATACATGAACGGAAAACAAACCATCTAAGGTACTAAAACTGACGTGTTACTTTAAAAATTCCAGTTTCGCAAGAAAGTTGATGCTACAGATTAGCGGATATTATAAACTAAGTATCTCGTGATTTTTGTTTTTCAACATAATTACAGTGGCAACATTACTAATAATGATAGCAGATTCAATATAAAACGCATACACACTTTTCGATTGCTGCAACTTTCCCTTCCTTAGTAACGTCGGCAGCTATGGTTGCTAAGGCCGACACAAACTAGCAGCCTGTCATTAACGGGCGTTTAAAATACATTATTTTCTCACTGAAGTATTTAAACATGCCTGCAAATTCGCTGGTCATAGTGCGGTTCGGTCCGTATGAGTCTTGTGGTATCGTGGAGCACAGAACCTTCCGTTTAGAGGGTCTTCAAGGTAAATTAAGTTGAACTAGCAGAGCTAAACTACCTGTTTCGTAAGAGAAAACGGTTAGTGTTCATTTTCTACTAGTCAACGAAGAAACTTGTTTAGAGGAAGTATAATATTGTTTTGCTATTATATATAACATGATTTTAGTAATGTTTGGCACAATTTAGTTTTGCATTAATCAATGGAAACGTGCAACTGAATTGAAACACGTTGCGTTAAACACCCTATTTTTATTTATCCATAAATTAATTTTCCTCCTGCTTTTCTAGCTGCTCTGCAAGAGGACGGGCATCGATGCGTCCTTAAAAAGATTGCTGACTGGAACAAGGTGGAGCTTGTCGTAAACGGAGAGTGTATTTTTCAATGCAATATTAAAGATCTTGACTTTGGTAAGAAGATTGCAACATCCCTCTTGTGCTTTTGAAACGATCACTATCATAGATAGAAGGGTCACCATAGATCAATAAATTTAGAAGTGCTGAGAAAAACATCGCATACGTGCTAGCACTCAAGCTGGTTAGTGCAGTACATATGAGAATAAACCTTTAATATCTGTTTTAAAATGTTTTGTTTAAAAAAAACAGTATGCATATGCATTAAAGAGTCAAGGGAGGTATTAGTAAACAAAGACTAAAATATAAAAAAATAATAATGAAAGAGAGCAGTAAGATGCTAATCAATATTTTTTTACAGGAGGAGATGGAAAACTAGACCCACTGTGCCAGGAGGCTAAAGAAGCTGTTAAAAATGCTTACTGACCAGGCACTCGCCCCATCCCCCTTTTGGTGTGGATCAGTCCTAAACGTCCTCCATTCCCTCTGCTTTGTATGCACCTTGTCAAACAATTTGGAATGAAGACGCTTTTTCACAACACACCAAACATTTTTATGTCATGTTTCTGAGGACTGGCTGCATCCTGTTTCTTAAATGTTTGCCATTCATGTTGACTTTTCATTAACTCAGATGTATTTTGACTCATTAACTCAATTTCGGTTCTCAGATGTATTTCAGAAAAACAGTCTCACAAAATGAAAATGCTCACTTAGAAAGTGTATAAACCACTTCCTTAGAACTCTCAGTCCTTCTATATTTTTTTAAAAAACAAGATTTGAAAAAAGGTCAGCACGGTGATCTGGTGGTTAGCTTTGTTGCCTCACAGCACTAGGGCTCAAGGTTTAATTCTGGACCCTGAGTGCTACAGTATCTGCGTGGGTTAGTATGTTCTCCTCGTTTGTGTGGGTTTCCTCCATGTGCTCTGGTTGTCTCCCACAATCCAAAGACAATCCTGGAGTGAGTGTGTGTGCGCCGCAATGAACTGGCGTCCCATCCAGGGAGTACCCTGCCTTGTGCCTGTTGCTTGGCAGGCTTTCTCATAACCTGGAAGTGAAAGAAGCAGGTAGAAAATGGATGGATTTGAAAGGCATTATGACCCATGTTCAGCTCACATTCAGCATTTTGAGTACTGGTTTGTCATTGTTACCAGGGCCCCATTAAATAAAAGTACAATTTGTGTTATTGCTTCTGCTTCCCAACAGCTGTTTTTGCGTTTTTCTAAAAGTTATACCAGTTATTTAAACATTATAGACATTTTTGTGGGATTTCAGTGAGCTACCATATACTGTACACTTGAAGGACACTAGACGTAAAAAAAATGAAAGCTTAGTCTTTCCATCTAATTGTTTCCCAAACACATCACCATCCAATTATATTATTATCTTTATCTAAGGTTTTCAATCTTATTTTTATGCAAAATCATAATTGGCATTCAAGAATGTCTCACTGTGAAAGAAGATATTTAATCTATGCCAAGGTGAGTCTTGAAACTGATTTCAAAATTGTTGTATTTGAAGTTTGCCTGACCTGACATTTTCTTTTACAAAGGATTGTTGGAAGCTGTAGCATACTGTAGATGTACTGTTGTTATTCCACGCCTGTGACATTTTAAGCATTACAAAGAAAAATACCATTGTAAAGCTTCTTAACTGCTATTCTTAAAGAATTCTTTCAATTAAAGAAGACTAAAGCTGTCTGTTTTCTTCACAAAAGGCTACTGACTATAACCTCTCTGACATTTCTGCGATAGCTGTTCCATAGGGAAGTAGCTGTCCTGGATGCAAGTTATATAAAGGCTTATCTCTTCTAATTGGACACTATCCAGAGTATCTTCAATTAATGGAATTGTGAATGACTGGACAGATACTGTGTATTTTTCCCTGACAAAAAGGTCTTAATTAAATATCTGTTTACTTTTCAGTTTTTGACTTTACAATGAGTGAAATAAATACCAGAAAGTCCTCCAGAAGAAAAAGCAAAAGCTTTTTCTGTGAATAAAATATGAGATTAATTGAAAAGTATTGTCTGGAAATCTAGTAGTTCAATTAATCAATGCGGTATTTAACAACTAACCCAAATATTATGCAGCACTCAAGTCTTTTTTATATTATCCTGAACAGTAGATTCTGGCTAAACACTGGTCACAAAGAATTAAATCTCATCTTAGGCAATATACCAAGGTTCATTTCATGTGTCGTGGTACTATAGTCACTCTACATAAAGTTACATCTTGGAAATTATCCCGGTTATTGCCTTGTCTGATAGCTTTAGCCTAATCTGTTTCGTCTTTACAATTATACACCTGACTTCATCTCTCACTGTTCATTCCAGTCTCTGTCCATTTAAAAAAAAAACACAAAAGCCTGCTGAGCATCAAGTATAATTTGAAAATTAAATTTTCTCATTAAGAGAAAATTGTTGGGCCTTTGAATAATATATACAAGAACACATCTTTTCATAATACCCACCTTCTACTTCAATGTTTACACTGAATCAATCTGAAGTGATACATTTGTTTATAAACTGTTAAGGATTTAAATTTCTGTCAAATTTGAAATGTTGTGGTAGGAGCTTCTTGATAAGTTTGAAATAAACCTGAAAACGTGGCTGTGTTTGGAGAGAAAACTAGTCTAGACAAGCCACTTAGTTCAATATTTTCATTTTATCTTCTTTTATTGGGGACAGATTATTCAATTTACATGATAAAGCTGTGTCTAAAACCCCCATAGAGAAAGAACTGAAGAACACCAGGTGGCCTTCACTTTTATTTTCCAGCTGCTTCTTCTGCATGGCTATGGAAGCTCCATTGGTCCCAGTGATATATCCATTTCCCCACACAGCAGAAAAAAAGGCTAAATTAAAGTAAAAATGTCTGAACTTTCAGAAAAAAATACCATTTTGGTTTTTGATGGCTCAGTCCTACTTTCTTTTCCCCACCATTTTTATGAGACAGGATTATCTGTTTCCTCTCCCACCTTATACAGTATATCTGTTCAATGGAACTATATATTTTGGACTTTATTCTTTGAGTTTTAATATATATCTTTGCACCCCATCAATAATTATTATAAAGTCACAGCAGGATTGTTATATAGTGATCACACTTGTCTAAGCTCTTGATTTCTCCCTGATGTCCCTGTACAACAGGTCTCTGTACAGGAAAAAAAAACTACACAAAATTATACAGGTCTGTATGAATCCTAATATAACAAAACCACATGTGTATTTCATTGAGCTTGAAAAATAAATACATTTAGACAGATTTAAAGAAAAGAAGTATGAGAGTTATGAATATATCAAATAATATGCTAAGATATGGCCACAGAATATTGACCAACATACCTTAAAGTAAAATCAGGTCTATTCTTATCAGCAATTACCAGCATTCTTTCAAAAACCAAAATTATAGCTGTATTTTGTTAAAGGCATGGTTCAATCCTGTAACATTGAAAAGGTCTGTGAAAGACATGAGAAGTTTAAATGCATTTTTAGACAGCAGCTTCTTAAAAATCCCCCTGGTGGTTAGGGTGACAACTTTTCACTATGATACCTATGACATTTGGTATAATTGAGAATATATATCTGTGACCCTGAAAGGAAGTGGTTGAAATGCCAAGTATTTCAACATATTTCTTAATGTATTTAAGTGTGTTAACACATTGTAAGGTACAGCCTAGAAAACAGTGGAGACAAGTGCAGTAAGCACTAACTTAGTTTTAAGAGGAGCAGCTTGGCAGACAGAATACACACTACAGTATATCTCCAAGCTGTTGATATGAAGCGTGGTTTCATGTAATTATCATGTTCTTATGCTCTTCTTGGGCCATACGTTTGAATATTCAAAAGGGAATGATAAGACCTACAAATTAGCACACCAGAAAATAATCACAATTCTCAGATAAGACTCAACATCAGCTATTTACAGTAAGTACCCTGAGGATCAGTTCCAGCTGTGACCTTATACTGTATTGAGAATTTGTGACACTGTCCCCCCCACCCTGAGATTTATATCAAATAGACATTTGAGGTGCTTCTCTACATTGCCTTTCTAAAACTCTGAATGCGAATATTTTACATTTTGGAGCTCTCCTAAACAGAGACACTACAGAAATTGACATTGTCTAGTACACAACTAGTTTAAATTAATCATTAAAAGCCATTCATTTTCTGAATGGTTTTGAAGGAATACTTAATACACTTGATGCAGTGCAGTCGGATGTTTGTTAGCAATTCTAACTTTTATGCTTTAAGGCAGCAGCAGCAAAAGTTCTCAAAATGTGAAACAGGTGTGTATCACCTTCACAGCAAAACCCAGTGTAAGTGTAAAATCTAATGTGCGAGTTTTATTTTATAATTTGACAATAAAGGTTTTGTTTAAAGTACAGCTTAGAAAGTTTAGACGGTTTTGTTCAAGCCCAAGAAATAATCATAGACTGTAGGAACAATAAATATGCCTATAATAAACATTAGTTAATTACTGTATTTAAGGACTCACTACACACCTGTGAAAGGGCTTTTCTGCAAAACGTTAAGTGGGTGAAGTTCAGTTCTAACCCTTATTGCTTTTACTTACAAATAAAATATCAAATCGTACCCATGGATTTATGCACACAAATTAGTTTAATTCCATTCTCTGCATATTTTATATAATAAATATTGGTATATGTAACTCCCTAAGGCTGTTTTTACTTACCAAAGGCTCTTCGCATGCTCTGATAAAGCATAGCGTTTCTATACAACAGGGCAGCATTTAAGACAATTGATGTGGCAAGAGTACACCTGACAAGGCAAAGTAACTGGAGATTTGCTATGGTCACTAATCATTTTAACACAGGCTTCTCTCTCTACACCCAAATATAATGAATCAAAATTATTCCAATGACTCAATTTCTTTAAGACAGTCCGCAGCCTCACAGAGTCTGCATTTTCTATCATTTAAAAAAAAGGTGAAAACTTTTCAGGATTATGTTTTAATATTTGTCAATCTTAAAGATGAGCCTTTTCTACCAACTTCTTGAATTGTAAGGCAAGGTGCCTCTGTTATGCCCTGAAGTATTGAGCAACTGACCCCAATCCAGAAAAGCCAAACACCTGATGGACCTTGAAATCTTCTGGGAGCTCTCTAATACACAGACATACAGTACAGACCTGTCCTGTCTCAAGCAGACAAAAAGAAACATTGGAGGTTTGTCCTGGTTAAACTTTGAACAAGGAAGAAATTGACACAACGAAGAACCCAGGGTGATACGAGATATTACATCAGTCCGAGTTTCCATGTTAATCCTGCTACAGAGCCAAGAAATGAAAATGGGCCATGAAATTAAACAAGGGGCCTCAAAGCAGAGGAAATTAGTCCGTTTACTCCACTGAGGTGCAGCAGAGGTTATTCACAGGGTTGAGTGTATGACGTTTTCTTCCCTGGGTGTGGTAATGATGCACAACAAGGATCATTTAAAAACAGGGACCTTTAGGGAGCACAAGTAGAAGGGTGATGTAATTTATTCCTTGACCTTTTTATATGTAATAGTACAACAAGCAAAAGACTGTTTCAGCATCGGACAGCTGTAATCGTGGTTAAAAGGAACAGCCATGTTCCAATAGATTATATTTAATTGTTTATATTGGCCTTCTCATCCTCATACTGTTTTTGGAAGAGGTGTAAAAACTTTAATTTTATATTGCAGTCTTCTGCTTAAGAGCAGCCCACTTCTGAGCAACACATATGGTCTCAGCATGCACCAAGGCAAGAGCTACAAGGTTTGCAGTAATATAGTGCGTGGACTGGCATCAGGCGTGTGATGAACTTTAGAGTTGGACAAATTAACTTTAAAATGTTTTAACGTGCCTAAGACACATTTATTTTTAATGTGCTGCAATCATTTTTTTTAATTATTCAAGACAGGACACCTCATCTCATTGTGCATCACAGAAACCAAATGTTTTTTAAAATTGTTTTTTAGAAATAATCACTATTCTCATAACTGAAAGGACATAACCGTTCAACACCATATACAACTATCTTTGTGAATGCCAGGTGGCAAACATGAAGCTTCAATTTGTATGAGAAAGATTTAGTATCCGTCACCATGTTCCAGTACATACAGAAGGAAATATGCTGAAGACAAATGAACAATAAGCTGAACACTGAAATGAATCATATTTCTGATTGATTCTAAAAGTTAATCATTTTAATAGCCTTTTTAGAATGTAATTTACTTAATGCTGAATTTACAGTATGGGCGGCCTTTAATGTCCTCTGCAGCTGAAGTCACTATAACATTCTCTTTCACTTGTCTGTCCTTGGGAGTGATTGCTAGTATTAATCAAGAACTCTTTAAGTACTAACCAAAAGGTTTTGCTGTCACAAGTCCCATGTAAATACAAAAGTCCTATGTAAATACAAAAGTCCCTGTGGTGACTAGTATGATCGTTCATAAATATGTACTTACTGCATAAGCATCAGAGTCATCTTTACTCATCTACAGAAAGCGTTCTAAATGGCAGAAAAGTGATCAGGGTCCTGATAATGTGGATAAAACACTGAAGAGAGAGATCCTCTGTTATCCCATTAAGAAACAGGATGAGCAGATCCTGACATACAGCATTTAAAATCTCCTGCATGGTGATTACTGAACTCTAGGTGGGTCATAGGTTTAAAACTGTGTCTCCCTACACAGTGATCTGTTCAGTAACACATCATTTTGAAA